CATGAGCGGAACTTTTCCAAATTTGTTGATTGATGCAACTTCCTTACCTTGACTTGTACCATATGTTACCGTTATCTTCGCGAACAACTATTTGATAGTGATTAATAACACTGTGCTTATCATATGTAGGACTATCGGATAACGGACTCAACAGTGACGTCCTAATGAGAAATGCCATTTTATATGAATAAATACATCAATGTGGATAATGTATCTTCAAAGGCAAAATAAAAAAAATAAAAGAATGTACATAAATTCTAAAAGTATTCGTCAAAACGTACGGGTCAATACCAGGAGAGTTTTCAACGCATGACAGTAACCTACGGTTAAAACCAACTCAAGGGTACACGGGTTTTAGTTTGTGAAAACCGTAGTTTGTTTTAGGCATTTCGGCTAATATGTACAACAAGAGGCCGTGACAAAACCATCCAGTTCGTTATATGCGTGTTTTTGTTTTGTTTGTAAACGTGGGTTACTGTACCCCAAATCGGCCCTTTTACTAATCCATGTGGGTATCGAACCCGGGTCTTCGGTTTGACGAGGAACGCTTTAACCACTAGGCTACCCCACCGCCCCATTTGTTGAGAAGTCAGCTTCTATAAGTCGACTGTCTAATTTCGCACAAATACAAAATGCTTTGCTGATATATTTCTTTGACCAGTATTATACTTGAGCGAGTTGTGGGTAACGAAACACGGAACAGTATTCGAGCTACGGCGTTTCAGCCTCACATGGAGGACGACTGATATAGGGTCAAAGACGTTTATGACACTGGGGACACCAACAAGCATGGGTATGTGCTGACACACCTAGAGTCACTGACTGACTGACTGAGTTTAGTTTTACGCCGCTTTTAGCAATATTCCAGCAATATCACGGCGGGGGACACCAGAAATGGGCTTAACACATTGTGAGATTCCAATTCACGATCATAGGACCCTGGTGTACCCAAGGGACGTAACTGTATACAGTGAATTGTGGCGCTTTAAGACGACTGGCCTTCAGTGCACTACTGGTGTGTTTTACTGTCTTAAAAAAAATCAAATCATCTAATGTTCTTTCTGTGACAAAGAGTCAAACCAATACAGCTTTATATCTTTGTTAGTTTCAGAGATTGCATTTTATAATATTTTGTAATGCTAAGAACGTAATAGTAATCCTGGAATTATATGTAGGGACCGTTCCTAATATCCATTGCTTTTTTTTTTTGGGGAAAGAGACGAGAAATGAAGATTTTAAGGGTCACCCATTTTGTTCTGGAGAGCTAGTGTGTGGGTGGGTGGGGTCATCAATTTTGTACATAAAAATATGTTTAAAATTATAGCTTTAAAATTATGGGAAGGGAAGGGGGGATCACTGATTTAGTACAAGACATGCAGGGGGTCACTTATTTTGTACATAAATTTGAGGGGGGTCCATTCACATTGTACATGCTTCTCCATAAAAATTATCATCACCCCCTAGCCATAAATTATGAACGGTCCCTTAGTGCAAAAGAACATTCTAAGCTCTGGTTCTACCTACGCTCCCATTCTGAACCGCGTTAGACGTATGACTCGAGTCAGCCTGCAGAATCCTTCATCAAGCTGATGATATCTCGTCTTTAAAACTCCACACGTGAAGATTCGAGTGAGAACTGGTCTTCAGCAAACCTTGCTTGTCCTAAGCGGCCACTAACGGGATCACGTGGTCCGGCTTGCTATCTTGGGTGACAGGTGTCATCGTATCCCTATCGCGCAGATCGATGCTCATGACGTCAATCACTGGATTATCTGGTACCAGGTACAATCATTTACACACCGTGGTCATATATTTTGAATTTTGTCGAGCGCGGCGTTGAACAACTAACAAACTTTAAAACTCTTTACACACTGAGAATAAAATGGCACCATTTAACAAAACAGTATTTTTAAAATTAAACACTCAAATGACATCGATACTGCTTTTTCAATCTAAAATGGTAAAACCATTTTTTGACAAACCGAACTTAACAAATTAAACCTCTTTTTTCATATATCTGTCACTTCCTGTTCTGTACGAAACTTAATAAATACCAGAAAACAACCCCCTGTTTTATCACCACGTCTAAACGTTGACAAGTCTGTTGAAACAATTGAATTATGAGCAATTCATATAACAAAATCCTTCCAGTGCCTTTGCCCCAAGTTGGCACATCATTCTTTATCAACCAACGATCCGCCTTTACACTGCCTATAAACGATGGCGTCCAGTTGTCTACTGTATTTTTTATCTCCATGTGAATTCGATTCGACTTTTCAACGGACCTTCAAAATTGTAAAGAACAATTGCACAAATGTGTGGTTAGAAATTAGATTTTTTTAGTAATCGTTATCATTAATGATTTTTTTTGTAACAACGCTTAGTGTATATTAAGAGTAAGAGCCTGAGAATACAGTGGTATGAGAATTCATACAAACTCTTGTGTAAATAGAGTGGACTTGGAGTTAGTTCGTTTTAGTTTGAAGATGGGATGTGTATTTGCAGAAACCTAGTCCTTTCTCTGAACATTGATAAAATAAGCATTTGCACTGAGAATCCGAGCAATGTCAATTCAAGGACATTTATGAAATCGATGATAAAGGTGTACATTGGTCGTGGATTTGAAGCAGTCATCGAGTACTTCTACATAGCGCTGCAATACCAAAAACGAAACTTACATTGTCGTGATATTTCTGGCTGCAGTGTTTCTGGACATGGAACCATACAGGTTGTCATAAGACTTGTGTCCTGTCAGAAACCTCCTTTGTGACGTATTCAGGTCCCGTGATTACTTTAGGTCTTCTTGTGTTTGGGTAACGGCCGATGGCTTCCTTTTAATATAAGGGCTGAATTGTAAAGTTGTTTTTAAAAAGCTGTGGTGATCATAACAGGAATTATCTCCAACGTTTGTAAACCAGATGAGTGTCACGAAGACCGAGGCCACACCGGCGGGTGATGTTGGTAAGTGTATAGACGTATATAGACAATCAAGATGACCTCGATGTTGTCATTGATCACGTCCTCCAAAGGCACTGCATTCTGGCTGTGACGTTCATGTTGCTGCTCAGTGGTATTTTAGGTTGTTCTGAACCAAAAAGCGAACCAGGCTAGCTATTCTCGAAACGTTCGTAGCCCTACGAACTTCTTAAGCTGATTCTTAACACATTGGCCACGATCAAAGTTACGAATTCTTAGGGCTACGGACATTTTGAGAATAAGGGCCCAGACGTAAAGAAGAATATGGATAAAACTACATTCCCAAACAGCTCATCATCAACAGGAAAAACACCTGACGATCCGAGAGGTTTGTTTACGTACATAATCATCACCAAACGTATAGAGTGATGACACAAGGTGTTCGCGAAAACGTGAACGTATCTTGCTCCACCGGTAGTACCCGTCATAAACACATGCAAAGGCTTGTCAATTGTTCATCTTAAAACACTGGGCACGTGTGATAGAATAGAGAACTGTATCGGCCATCTCTTATGCGCCCGTGAAGGGCCGGGTTAGAATTGATCTTCAATAACCCATCCTTGTCGTAAGAAACTAACGGATCGGGTGGTCAGGCTCGCTGACTGGGTTGACACATGTCATCGGTTCCCAATTGCGCAGATCGATGCTCATGCTGTTGATCACTGGATTGTCTGTTCCAGATTCGATTATTTACAGACCGCCGCCATATAGCTGGAATATTGTTGAGTGCTGCGTAAATCTAAGCTCACTCACTCACTCATCTCTTATGTCACTGAAGGGTCAAAGTTTGACACTGCCCCCACATGTCTACCGTAAAGTCTTTTGAAAAGTTTCCTCGGACCGGGAATGCTGTAACAACTTCTGACCAAACAACTTCTGTCTCGACATAAAGGAAACACTGACTGTTGGAAAGTTGAAATCATCCCTCTTGTGACACAAGAAACACTATTGTGATCCGGTAGAATTCGTTACTGTCTGTGTGACAGAGTACAATATAAGAAACAACCCTGTGATGTGGGAAGCGTCCCTGGGGTCGTGGAAGACAAATCTAACCTTAAACACGACATTTGTTTACACGTATTTGTCTTGTTTATGTGATAATGGTTTCCTGAGCCGCCCAAAACATTAAACATAATAAACAAGAATGTATACTTACATGAGAATGAGAAAGACAAATGCAAGGAAACAGATCCATGGTCTAGTGCTTTCGGAGCAGGTCTAGACGTGAACGAGACATTGTCTCTGGTCAACTCATCTGTGGCTTAATCGATCTTCACCTTAAAACATACTTTAGCTGGCGAGTCAGGTATGGTTGGAATGACTCGATTCAGGCGTGTTACGATTGTCAGTGAGAGCTTGGCAGATCTCTTCAAGTGATTTAGTTCCTGTTCGGGATTCAGCTTCTGTTTGTAACATTTCTAGGTACTAGATAGAAACACTTTCACAACACGTCGAAATATGCACATGTACTGAAAATTGTATTACATAACTTGACACTTTAAAGTAAACGTTTTTCTGGCAACACTGGAATGTTTCGATTACACAAAAAAAACCTGTGTTCGGATCTCATGGTCTTAGAATCTATAAGGAAATGGTAAGGTGTATCGTGATTTCAGAAAGCTATTTAGGTATTTCTGAAGTCACAATACACCTTACCATTTCCTTAGAGATTCTAAGTCCATGAGATCCAAACACAGAGGGTTTTTTATCATCGAAACGTTCCAATGTTGCAAGAAGGGGCAGGATAACAATATATGTACGAACTTCTTTATTGCTGTGAAAGCGACGTTTCGGTGTAGGTTCTAACACCGTTATCAAGCAAGTGCCTGCTCCAACTTCTAAATGCCTCTCAAAGAAATGTTGCAAGAAGTTTTACTTTAAAGTGTCAAGTACTTCTTAGCCCCCCTGTATGCATGCATCATGCGTCAGGTAGGGATACATTGAGCGCCTACCAAGGCTGGTCTGTGATCATGGCGACATGGGCTTCACCAAGGAAGTGTGCCTACCATAGCCTTCATAAGTAATTACTTGCAGAAAAATAAACTCACACTACCAGGCTGCACATTACGAGGATCTACATTTCCAGGCTTCACATTACGAGGATCTACATTGCCAGGCTTCACATTACGAGGATCTACATTGCCAGGCTTCACATTACGAGGCTTTACGTTGCCAGGCTTCACATTGCGAGGATCTACATTGCCAGGCTTTACATTACGAGGATCTACATTGCCAGGCTTCACATTACGAGGATCTACATTGCCAGGTTTCACATTACGAGGCTTTACGTTGCCAGGCTTCACATTGCGAGGCTTTACGTTGCCAGGCTTCACATTACGAGGATCTACATTGCCAGGCTTTACATTACGAGGATCTACATTGCCAGGTTTCACACTACGAGGCTTCACATTGCCAGGCTTCACATTACGAGGATCTACATTTCCAGGCTTCACATTACGAGGATCTACATTGCCAGTCTTCACATTACGAGGCTTTACATTGCCAGGCTTCACATTACGAGGATCTACATTTCCAGGCTTCACATTACGAGGCTTTACGTTGCCAGGCTTCACAATGCGAGGCTTTACGTTGCCAGGCTTCACATTACGAGGATCTACATTTCCAGGCTTCACATTACGAGGCTTTACGTTGCCAGGCTTCACATTGCGAGGCTTTACGTTGCCAGGCTTCGTATTACGAGGATCTACATTTCCAGGCTTCACATTACTTGGCTTCACACTGCCAGTCATATCGTTGCAAGGCTTCGTTGTCTCATTCAAGAGATGCCAAGTTTTTTAACTTAGTTCACGAATTCAATACAATATCGCTGCCGGTAAAAGTAGTTACGCAATATTCACTCACTGAACAGAGACGTTGAAGATAAGCTGGTCGTATCTGTTGGTTAAAACCTTGGCATAACTTCCCATTATTACATAAGCTTTGAAGACCCTCGTTGTTGAGGTCTTAACTCAAGCACGCCGCAACCGATGACAGCCCCAACAGATGCCAATGAAAAGTGTAATGTCTACAAGGCTCAAAGGTGCATTCAACTCTCGTTAAAATTATCAATCGTCTCTTTCCTGAAAGCATTTACAGCCACTAAAGACTTAAAAATACATACACGTTATAGCCTCCCCCATAAACCATGCAAGCACAGACAGATATGCCCCCTTAAACTATTTTTAAGGAGCAAGCCAGTGACCAGGTCAACTTTTTGCTCTGCCGGTAAACTCTGTAATATCATTTCAAGACAGCTTCTACAAAAACCTTCACACAGATGGAAATGACTTCAAACTGGGAAAAATAATATATTTATTTATTTCTTGACAAGTAAACGAAATAGGAGACATTTGAAGCTGATAGATGTACTTTCTGTAACAGTGACATCGCTTACAGAGAGTATGTTCAATTAGCAGAGGGTCATATATATTGAATGAAAGTGAAATTTGACTTTCAAGAATAATGCTAAAGATGAAAAACAAATAGTTTCTACTTTAGTTTCTACTCTTCAAACGTTCAAGATGAATTTCAAAATAACCCCAGATCGGGAAGAGTCTGGTAACTTCCAATACGGTATATGACAATTAATACAATGTATACAATTAATACAATATCTGATGTTTGTTTTGTTTTCATACCCATCACTGGAAAAAGATAATTTTAGTCGCCACTGTGGAAGTTGCTCCCATCAACTGATGGTCACATGTACAGGGGCGGATACAGCTTTTTGAGAAAAGGGAGCGGGGGTGGGTGGGGAGCACACTATTGAGAATAGGAGGGTGCACACTTCATTTTCACCAGTTTCAATGGTCATTCAATAAACTTTCAGGACAAGGGTTTGGTTGGGCTGGTGATCTATGATCTATATGTGGGTCTGTTGCTTGCCCATCACGTGGCCAGAATCTCGTGAGTGAGTGAGTGAGTTTTCTCAGCAATATTACACCTTTATGATGGCGGTGTGTAAATAATCGAGTTTGAAACAGCATGAGCATCGATCTACGCATTTGGGATTTACAATGACATGTGTCAACCAAGTCAGCGAGCCTGACCACCCGATCCCGTTAGTCGCCTCTTACGACAAGCATGGGACACACAGACCATTAGGGTATAACCCAGCCACACCCACCCTCCTCTACACAGACCACTAGGGTTTAACCCAGCCACACCCACCCTCCTCTACACAGACCACTAGGGTTCAACCCAGCCACACCCTCCCTCCTCTACACAGACCACTAGGGTTCAACCCAGCCACACCCACCCTCCTCTACACAGACCACTAGGGTTCAACCCAGCCACACCCACCCTCCTCTACACAGACCACTAGGGTTCAACCCAGCCACACCCACCCTCCTCTACACAGACCACTAGGGTTCAACCCAGCCACACCCACCCTCCTCTACACAGACCACTAGGGGTTCAACCCAGTCACACCCACCCTCCTCTACACAGACCACTAGGGGTTCAACCCAGCCACACCCACCCTCCTCTACACAGACCACTAGGGTTCAACCCAGCCACACCCACCCTCCTCTATACAGACCACTAGGGTTTAACCCAGCCACACCCACCCTCCTCTACACAGACCACTGGGGTTTAACCCAGCCACACCCACCCTCCTCTCTACACAGACCACTAGGGGTTTAACCCAGCCACACCCACCCTCCTCTACACAGACCACTAGGGTTCAACCCAGCCACACCTACCCTCCTCTACACAGACCAATAGGGTTCAACCCAGCCACACCCACCCTCCTCTACACAGACCACTAGGGTTCAACCCAGCCACACCCACCCCTCCTCTCTACACAGACCACTAGGGTTCAACCCAGCCACACCCACCCTCCTCTACACAGACCACTAGGGTTTAACCCAGCCACACCCACCCTCCTCTACACAGACCACTAGGGTTTAACCCAGCCACACCCACCCTCCTCTACACAGACCACTAGGGTTCAACCCAGCCACACCCACCCTCCTCTACACAGACCACTAGGGTTTCAACCCAGCCACACCCACCCTCCTCTACACAGACCACTAGGGGTTCAACCCAGCCACACCCACCCTCCTCTACACAGACCACTAGGGTTCAACCCAGCCACACCCACCCTCCTCTACACAGACCACTAGGGTTCAACCCAGCCACACCCACCCTCCTCTACACAGACCACTAGGGTTCAACCCAGCCACACCCACCCTCCTCCTCACACAGACCACTAGGGTTCAACCCAGCCACACCCACCCTCCTCTACACAGACCACTAGGGTTTAACCCAGCCACACCCACCCTCCTCTACACAGACCACTAGGGTTTAACCCAGCCACACCCACCCCTCCTCTACACAGACCACTAGGGTTCAACCCAGTCAACCCACACCCACCCTCCTCTACACAGACCACTGGGGTTCAACCCAGCCACACCCACCCTCCTCTACACAGACCACTAGGGTTCAACCCAGCCACACCCACCCTCCTCTACACAGACCACTAGGGTTTCAACCCAGTCACACCCACCCTCCTCTACACAGACCACTAGGGTTTAACCCAGCCACACCCACCCTCCTCTACACAGACCACTAGGGGTTTAACCCAGCCACACCCACCCTCCTCTCACACAGACCACTAGGGTTCAACCCAGCCACACCCACCCTCCTCTACACAGACCACTAGGGTTCAACCCAGCCACACCCACCCTCCTCTACACAGACCACTAGGGGTTCAACCCAGCCACACCCACCCTCCTCTGACCCAGCCACACCCACCTTCCCTCTACACAGACCACTAGGGTTCAACCCAGCCACACCCACCCTCCTCTACACAGACCACTAGGGTTCAACCCAGCCACACCCACCCTCCTCTACACAGACCACTAGGGTTTAACCCAGCCACACCCACCCTCCTCTACACAGACCACTAGGGTTTAACCCAGTCACACCCACCCTCCTCTACACAGACCACACAGACCACTAGGGTCTACACAACCACTAGGGCCACACCCACCCCCCTCCTCTACACAGACCACTAGGGTTCAACCCAGCCACACCCACCCTCCTCTACACACAGACCACTAGGGTTTCAACCCAGTCACACCCACCCTCCTCTACACAGACCACTAGGGTTCAACCCAGCCACACCCACCCTCCTCTACACAGACCACTAGGGTTTAACCCAGTCACACCCACCCTCCTCTACACAGACCACTAGGGTTTAACCAGTCACACCCACCCTCCTCTCTACACAGACCAATAGGGTTCAACCTAGCCACACCCACCCTCCTCTACACAGACCACTAGGGTTTAACCCAGTCACACCCACCCTCCTCTACACAGACCACTAGGGTTCAACCCAGTCACACCCACCCTCCTCTACACAGACCACTAGGGTTTAACCCAGCCACACCCACCCTCCTCTACACAGACCAATAGGGTTTAACCCAGTCAAACCCACCCTCCTCTACACAGACCACTAGGGTTCAACCCAGTCACACCCACCCTCCTCTACACAGACCACTAGGGTTCAACCCAGTCACAGCCACCCTCCTCTACACAGACCACTAGGGTTCAACCCAGTCACACCCACCCTCCTCTACACAGACCAATAGGGTTTAACCCAGCCACACCCACCCTCCTCTACACAGACCACTAGGGTTCAACCTAGCCACACCCACCCTCCTCTACACGGACCACTAGGGTTCAACCCAGTCACACCCATCCTCCTCTACAGACCACTAGGGTTCAACCCAGCCACACCCACCCTCCCTATACAGACCACAAGGGTTCAATCCATCCACACCCACCCTCCTCTACACAGACCACTAGGGTTCAACCTATCCACATAGCAACTGTAGTTGATCAGAATCTTCTGTGACAAAACATCACAGTATGACTTTCAACAAAGGAAGATGGCTTTCTGAAATATATGTGTTGCTTTGTTGATTGAAACAGTGTCCTTCCTAGTGATGTAGAAGCTCCATCCTCTCTGTTGGATGCAGCAGTAAACCAGCAACACTGCAGCTTGATATCTGCATCTGAGTCAGACTTGCATCCTTAACATCTGAAAAGCTGTTTGAACAAAAGCTGAAAAATAACCCCCTTTTTCCCCATGTTGCAACCAGAAAACTGGACGACACCACGCTCTCAGACGACTGTCTGAGCAGCTTCACTTGGAATTATATTTCCACAGATTTCAGCTTCTTCTCAAAACTGTTATATCACAAAAATCCATTAACAATTCAGTAATTGAAGAGCAGTGTTACTTAAATAACAAAATTTCATATTTTCTTAATGGTCTTTCAATGTTTAAATTCTGTCCTTATAACAACAAGCATTTTAGCTCAGTTATAACCATAAAAGCCTGGGCTTCAAAACGTTGAGCATCGTCACGGAGGCCATAATGAAGAGCCATTCAAGAAACATGACCATTCTGTAAGTGGGATGACATTTTCAGAACAAAGCCCACAAACTCATCCACGACAATTATATTCCATTTACCTGTACAAACCCCAGTCTCTCTAATGGCTTCAACAGCAATGGCTGCCGTCTCATCAGGAGTAATACCCGATGTAGCAATTCCAATGTTCATTATTTGTAAAACAATCCCCCATCTATAAATTTACACTAGGCTCGCCCATAAATAATATCCTGTGTAATTCCTATGGCTAGGGGGCCTGTGCAGTTGGATGGGTTAATACCACTGCAGTCGTAAAAGCATTTGTGGGTAATCCCCAGTGTTGTCAAGGGAGATAACTCTAGCTGA